GGTGGAACGTAAGCTAGAAGATGAGCTTCTACTAGCTTCGGCAGGAGGTCGCTATATGTGGTTGGAAGTTTATCAAGCTTCCTCACAGGGTTATATTGTGACTTTCCTGACTTCGAAGTGGAAGAAGATGAAGAAATGGTTATGGCGTTGACACGATATTAGAGTCCAAACCGGGCATATCATGGTACGACCACGCAAATACATCTTTGTATTCCCTTAACAACTGGATCAATTGTTCCCTTATCTCATCACTGATATGGGTCCCAATGTTGATTTCTTTTTTCTCTTGGCCTTGCCCCAAATTCACGGTCTCCAATTCCTCTTGATGCGGTTGGAGTAGACGAGCCTCTTGATCTAGCAGTCTTTGCAAGTCCGGAGAGATGGTCTCCTCATCACTGTCCAACTCAACCCATTCATCCTCAACTTTCGGATCCCGGTCAGAGCGAACAATCACAGACATAATTGTTTTATTGGTTCTGTTTAGGTTTAGAATTATTAATATTAATGAGAGAGAGAAAAGAACAAATGAGAGAATAATGTGTGAAAAATGCCTCTTTATTGATATGTATTAAAATTTGTACAAAGACCCTTTATTCATATGAAAAGGTTCTCATGACCTCGGGTACTGATCATGAGCCCCTAAAAGAAAAGAAAAATATGGAGGGGCCCTATCGTGGCTTGATCTTCTCCCTACTCCTGCTTCGGTAGAGGATTCTTGCTTACGTCGGGCGCTGTCGAATCGAAGGTGACCCACCCAGCATCAATAAGGTCTTGGACCTTATATTTGAGAGCTCTACAGTTCTCCGTTGAATGTCCTGGTGCCCCCGAGTGGTATAGACATTTATCTTGTGGTTTGTACCACTCGGGGTAAGGTGGATCCACCTTTCTTGGTGGAACGTAAGCTAGAAGATGAGCTTCTACTAGCTTCGGCAGGAGGTCGCTATTTGTGGTTGGAAGTTTATCAAGCTTCCTCACAGGGTTATATTGTGACTTTCCTGACTTCGAAGTGGAAGAAGATGAAGAAATGGTTATGGCGTTGACTCCTCCCTCCTTCTTCCTCCCGAAGGTCTTCTTAGCTTCGAATGGTTGGGAAGGCTTGGGTAGCTTCCCACTTTTCAGCCCTTGTTCCACCCTTTCTCCGATGGTGATGATGTCCGAGAAGAGTGTTGTCGTGTTCCCTATCATTTTGTCATAATAGGGACCGGTCAACGAATTTATGAACAAGGACACCGTCTCCTTATCCGACAGCGGAGGCTCTATCTGTGCCGCCAACTCCCTCCATCGTTGGGCGTACGCCTTGAAAGATTCATCATTTGTTTTACTCAAGGCTTGAAGATCGGACCTATCGGGTGTTAGGTCGATGTTGTATTTATAGCGCTTGAGAAAGGCGTCGGCCAACTGCCTCCATGTGTGTACTAGATTTCCATCTAGCTGCATATACCAATTGAGCGCAGTATCGGCTAAGCTCTCTTGGAAGCAATGGATCAAGAGCTTTTCATTTGTGGCATATGCAGCCATTTTGCGACAGTACATGGTGAGATGACTCTTAGGGCAAGTCGATCCCACATATTTTGGGAAATCTGGCACTTTAAATTTGGGAGGGAATTGGATGTCCCTCACCAAGCACATGTCGGCGGCATCTTTGATGTCAAAATCATGCCCCTCCATAGCCCTTAGCCGATCCTCAAGAGCATGGAATTGTTCCTTTGAAACCTCGGGCTCTTTAATCATGATCCCCGCCCCAAGGGGTGCAGCTCGCGGAGGTTCTTCTTCGTGCTCCTCCTCCTCATGGTCACTGTGGTGAGACCCATGTACATTATGATGACGCATGAGCTCCATCACTTGCGCCATTTGTTCTTTGAGCTGCGAGAGCTCGGCTGTGAGCTTCTTATTTTGGTCCTCCAGTGCTTCCATCTTCTTTTTCTGCGCGCGTGTGAGGACAGAGAGATGACCAGCCACTTTCTAAAATGGATGCTTAATTAGTTTATTTTATGGAATGAATACACTCTTGACATGAGCTTGATAACCCTCCATTTTTAAGGCGCTGCCTTTTTAAAACGGAGTGTTACCGCCCTCCTTGACTTATGATCCCTCCCTAACGGAGAATCTCGATAATTATGGGTCTCTTTTACTCATGTCAAGAGGTATTGGTGAACCTAAAATGCATGGTTTATGAGGATGCATGATGTCTTATTGATAATGATGCACATGCTCCTCACTTTTATTTATATTTTCACACATGGTCTTTTTACTCTCATGCCATGACATTTTTATGCATGGGGTTTATTCTTAGACCTTATCACGAAGTTTATTTTTAATGCACAAACAATATCACATAAACCTAT